TATTTGCTTTGATCATGGTTATTTGATAGTAATCTTTCTCGAGGGTTGATATATATTCAAGTAATAACTTAAAACCTTTGTAATTCCAAAAAGAGTTTGTCCGGTTATCTCCGCATCAATCACCATCACCACCACACCCAACATTGCCAACACCAATGCACGATCAGTAATTTTTACCCTTAAAGAGTTTTTTCATCAACGTACTTTCTTCTACATTTGAGAAAACAGACCGATTGCTAAGCCTTTCCGAACGAACTCGGTAGACAAGCTTTACGGCGGAGCTGTCAATAGGAACTCCATATCTGGAAAACAGAAGTATAGTTCCACGCAAAAACTCCGAGCTTACTCAGATTTACCTGCTGTTATTTCGCTTAAAATGGTTTGCTGTCTGATGAGTTCCAGCACTTCCGTTACTTTCACAAAAGGCAACTGTAACTGAAATAAATTTGAGAGATACCGTATTACAGGCACAAGAGCAAACAACTTGAACTGGTGATTTCAAAAAACAAGCAGTAACTCACCATTTTCAAGGGATGCCTTATGGGAATCGACAAGACTATCCGTAATACTCGACTTTACCCGGTTAATCCGTAACTGTGAGCCAGTATCTTCAACTGTGATCACAGGTCCATGATGGGGGGGTCGGGTCACTAAATTTACCAATAATGAAGTAAAGAAATTTTATTTTTTTAAATTCCAATGAAACTTTACTACAATTACAATTCGAATCAAGTGAATCCCTGCTATAGTCGATTCTAGTATAAGCAGGTGGCAATGAACCCAATTTCTTTCTTGTTGACAGCAAATTTCGAAATTGTTGTCGACTTCCATTTAACCGCAGAAAATCTGCTGATACCTGGAATTAAATGATTTTTAGCTCATCCTTGTAATTCTTCGGAGTAAGGCTTTACAAATTTCTGTCATATAATCTCAAATCTCCGCTCATCCCCGATCCCTATTTTTTCCTAGAAAGCTTGTCAGCCAACTCTCTTCTAATTAAACTATTTTTCCTGGATTGTTGGCTTTCAATGCCAAGACAACTCGAACACCTCATCGAATTAATTCTA